CCCTCCCCAGCTTGCACTCTGTCTCTGTCTCTCTTAAAAATAAACATTGGGGCGCCTGGGTGGCGCAGTCAGTTAAGCGTCCGACTTCAGCCAGGTCACGATCTCGCGGTCCGTGAGTTCGAACCCCGCGTCAGGCTCTGGGCTGATGGCTCAGAGCCTGGAGCCTGTTTCCGATTCTGTGTCTCCCTCTCTCTCTGCCCCTCCCCCGTTCATGCTCTGTCTCTCTCTGTCCCCAAAATAAATAAACGTTAAAAAAAAAAATTAAAAAAAATAAACATTAAAAAAAAATTATAAAAAAATAACAATGTTTAATCATTACTCTTGGAAATATGACCTCAAAAACAAGCACAGGATGTTACAACAAGCATTTTTTTTTAATTTTTTTTTTTCAACGTTTGTTTATTTTTGGGACAGAGAGAGACAGAGCATGAACGGGGGAGGGGCAGAGAGAGAGGGAGACACAGAATCGGAAACAGGCTCCAGGCTCCGAGCCATCAGCCCAGAGCCTGACGCGGGGCTCGAACTCCCAGACCGCGAGATCGTGACCTGGCTGAAGTCGGACGCTTAACCGACTGCGCCACCCAGGCGCCCCAACAACAAGCATTTTTAAGAACATTATTAGGTGGTTATAATGTGGAAATCAACTACATGCAGATTAAGGGGGAAAATTTGCTAATTTGATGTTTATACAACAGGTAATTGAAGCATGGAATTTCTTATAACATCATACATGGGTAAAGCATTACCATCTTTCAAAAAACACTGCTTTCTTTTAAATAAGCTTAGACAACAAGCTGACAGGCTTTGGGAAACTGGTGTTTCAAAACATCAAGGAAAAATGTGAAAATAATGAGAACTCGTGCATGGAAAGAAGCTAACGTATCATTTCACAGAATTAAAATATGCATATACAAGCAAATGTGTATTTCATCTTTAAACCATGAACTATAGATTCAAGTAAACTTGATTTGCTTTTTAAAGTTATGCTACAGCATATTTTAGGCACTATCCATCACCACCCCTAGCTTGGCCTCTTTCCACTGGATACCAGTAGTATGCCCCCTGTTGTGACAAATAATAATGTCTCCCAATGTTTCCACATGTCCACTGGGGGGTGTCATCACTCCAGTTGAGAACCACTGCTCTAGACAAATGCTGTCAAATATCTGTCAAGTAACTTCCACATTTTTCTTGATGTTCCATTGTTTAATTATCTGAAATCTAATTAAAATATTGATTCCTCTCTGGTTAAAACAGTTGGTTACTATTCCCATTATTTACTTTTCTATTAAATTTTGTAAAAATAAGAAATTTCAGGCAGTTATGAGTAACTATTACTGAGGAATAACCTTGCAAAATATACATTTACCAAAAAGAAAGGAAGGCTTCATAGAACCAGATCCATTAAAGATAGAGCAGTTGAAATCAATCTTTATCAGAATGGAAATATTAGATACTCTATACAAGTAGAACTATGCTGTTATGACTGCCCTACCTTCAGATCTTTTCATTTTGCTGAGGTTTTCCTTCTCTGAGCCAAACATCCTGTTTTCCTGGTCCTCATTAAACTTAAATGATGATTAAAACTACTAATGATGGGAAGTATAAACACGGTCAGTAGCAGGTAATCCAAATAGTCTGACCTCGGAGTAGATCTAATTTTTATCTTTTGCATTCTTTCGGATGTATGAATCTAGATGCTAAAATTTATGTATAGTTCCCAAATCTCTACAAGACAGATGGAGGGAAAAAAAGAGGAGTACAAAATTACTTGAAGAATTTGGATCAAGGTTAAATACTCATTAAGGGTAACTGAATGTGGACTGTAATTTCTCCCATTTTATTTTCATGTGCTCATGTGATTGTTTATATCGGGACACAATAATTAAATACAAAACAGAATGCAAGACTCTCAATTTATAGTTTGTAGCTTAAAAAGAATCTCTTTATTAAACCTGTTACAGAATTCATTTTTTCAAATAGAAGTACAAAAAAATTTGATTGTCACCAAAAATGTAACCAATGAATGATGGTATTAGAAATTATTTTCCTTTACTGTAGCTTCTCTAAATTTTCTATTTTTTTCTATAATGAGTATTTTTTAAAACCACAAGCAAAAAATAAAAAATAAAAATAAATAAATAAATAAAACCACAAGCAAATTCTTTCTGCACTCCCTTTCCCCACCAATTTTATCACAGTTTGTGGCCTATCAAGTAGGATTTTTGGACAAGTGCTTACATTACTCTTGGTTCCTGGGTTTTATTTCAAACTATACTGAACTCTCCCTAATTTTTGTTAAGTGCATTTCCTATTAACCAAAATTAAAAATGTGCCCTTTGAAAAACCTGATTTCAGATGAAAATCTGTCTTGCAATTAGATACACAGAAAACGAATATTCTATGCAATGTAAGACAAACCATGGTTCTTACCATTCTATTTCCTAGTTTGATAAGGACTGTCAAATTTCTTAAAAGAGTACACACATACATTTTTAACTTGGCATTCCATGTTCAGTAAAAATCAATTTGATCTTAATTACTGTGGAATTTTGACAACTCTAGCAATGGCAAAGCTGAGTTTTATCTTGCCGTTATCTAGCAAAAAGTAAATACCATTAAGATTCCAAATGCTTAACCTGGTTAAAATGAGAATATATTTCAATCAAAAACATACCATCGGGGAAAAAAAACAGTATTGCTATCTAGCCATGAGTTTCTCAGTACATTTTTGCAGGCCCTAAATGTTTAGAATAAATGTAGCATTCACATACTATAGTCCATGAAAAGAGTATATTCTTTTATTGTTTTTGTACATACATGTTGTTTCAACTTTCAATAATAAAATTCAATAAATTTGATTCCTCAATCATAAAAACTTGCTTTACACATTATGTACATGTTGCCAAAGTCTATAGCCATACAAAACATCACAAAGATTTGACTCTATGCATGGTGCCATCACACAGGAGGGAGCTAATCAAATAACATACATTCAAAGATTAAACTGTAGATACGCACAGTGTATTTGGCACTGTTTCCTTAACATTAGAACACCTTTCTCTCAGAGACAAGTATTCTTAAGCTTTAGTCCCAATATACCAGGATTTCTTTTATTCACGTCAAAAGCAGCTTTCAAACTCTATTGTAACAGTAATCAGTTTTAAGAAACAAAATACAACCAGAATTGGGAATGGATTCAAACACGCAAACTTTTTGCTATGCTCCAACCTGCCATCCTTAGAGTAGGTTTACTTTGATAATTTTTCCATTGTCAGGGGTGTCAAGAAGAAACAATTTAAAGACAAATACCTTGAGTACACCTAAAGATAACAGTTTGTTTAAACTTTAAGATTATCAGTTCTTCTTGGGAGTGCCCAGGGAGCCCTGATGATGTGGAACTTGTGATGATTTTGGCAGGAACTCCAGAATGACCAATGCCATTCAAGTTGTGGAGACCATACAAGCAGTTAAACTCATGAGGAGAAGGATCTGGAATGCTTATATCTGAATTCAGAATCCTTAGCAACTTGTGTTAAGGGTCTCTTTCTAGGACTATAACAGACTCAAGTCACAGGTTACAGATTTACTTTGATGTGTAATACTACACTGCTATGAAATGGAAGGAGAAAATAAAAGTACAAAGGCTTAACCATTAAACTTTTAGAGACTTTGGCTACATCCCAGTGGGTAACGTTTGATTAACTTCATTTTACCAAAATTAAATCCCTTCACTTCAACCAGAACCATTAAATTTATTCATTGAAGCCATACATATTCCAGAATGTTTATAAAAGACACATACCATGTTTATAAAAGACATAAATTCAGTCTCAAACTAAGGCAAAAAAACCCTCAACAGAACATGGATCACAGTACAGGGGAACAGAAATCAGAAATTGGTAAAGTTCAGGGATATGCTATAGTTTCACACAAAACTTGTAGCAATAAATTAAGACTTAAAAAAAGTCTCACAATGTACAAAGGACTATGAAGTGCAAAGTAATGTCACTGAACCAAAATTTAGTTTAATCATTTTATTTCAAGTGTAGTTTTTAAAATCATAAATGGGGTCTTATAGTCCAAAGTCCAAACATTTATTCCTCCTCAGAGCTTTAGAACATGACAAGCAACTTTAGACCTTGCTTTCCAAGCCTAGTCTTCCTTGCTATTTTTTAGACATCTGAGACCTAGTATTTAAGCTACTCCATTCTAAATGTACAATTTTAGACAACTATTGTACACTTAAGATTTTTCTGAAAACAGTCCATCAAGTACAAAGAATGGTTTCTGTCCAAGGATCAGTAGTGAGGGAAGAAATACTAAACATCAAAAAATCATTTATTCATTTAAAAAATAACAGAACCAGTGCTGTTCTCTGTCATGAAAGAGAACATGTAAGGTTAAGTTAAATTACTTTTGTAGACTTTGGTAATATTTTATTACCTACACAGGCCTCAATCTTACTTAAAGATCTTTTAGGCAAAGTCCCCCACCATCAGGATTTACTGAGTAAAAATCCTGGGAACTAACATAGACCTAAATGTGCTATTCCAAAGAGTAATAGGTTACTACTTTAGGGGAAAAAAGCTGCCTTGATAACTTTTCAATTTTTTTTTTTTTCAACGTTTATTTATTTTTGGGACAGAGAGAGACCGAGCATGAATGGGGGAGGGGCAGAGAGAGAGGGAGACACAGAATCGGAAACAGGCTCCAGGCTCTGAGCCATCAGCCCAGAGCCTGACGCGGGGCTCGAACTCACGGACCGCGAGATCGTGACCTGGCTGAAGTCGGACGCTTAACCGACTGCGCCACCCAGGCGCCCCCCTTGATAACTTTTCAAATGCTCTTTTAAATAGAAAGTTAACGGGAATCTTTTTTTAAACCAACTTTGGGTACATACTGCCCACCAAATAAAAAAGGGAATCAAACTTTATTTCCTATTTTAGGAAATTTTCCAACTTATAATCCTTTAAGATTATAACTTTTTCACCTTTTTTTGACTGATATTTAAATTTTTTAAATTCTACATTTCAATGTAGTAAGAGTTCTTTTTCAAATAATTTTCACAACCCAGAACACAGACATCAGAGCAACACTCACAAGTCACATTGTTTATCTATAATGAGATGAAAATGGACGGATATCTGAAAATAGGTATTCCCTCTACTCCAAAGGTGAGCAAACTTTTAACATGTGACCAACACAGAACTCCATCCCTCTGGAGATCCCTCAGACTCAAAACGGTTCCATTTAATAAGTCAATACATTATTCTTAAAAATTAAGTTTGGTCACTAGGAAAGACTGAACAAAAACGATTCCCCTCCGCTCAAAACAACCAAATAGCTCTAGTTACCCCCTCCTCTCCCCACAAAAATAGGGAAGTAGTTGAGGCTGAAGTCTTTAAATCTGAAATTTCAGCTCCTAAAACACTGCTGCTATTTGCTCAAAGTTGCAGATCTATGTATTTCCTTCTCCAATACTTCCCCCATTTATAAATTTATTTGCACACACACACGCACACGCGCGCGCGCACACACACACACATATTCACACATACCCTTACTCTCAAGTAAGACACTTTTTTGTGTTTGTTGATAAATTATGAGGATTATGAACTAGGTGTGTACAGGGTTTCATAGGTGCTTTGTAAACATCAGAGTCACTTGGGTCCTTTTCTCCAAAAGCCTGAAATCAAATTACACAACCAGGGATCACTACTTTCCCAGACGCTGTTCACAGGCTGCATATTGACGAAGGGCAGAGAAAAAGTCCTCATAACTGATGTTTAGGTGGGAAGGCAAAGAGCTGAAAAGAAAGCACAGGGGGAAAAAAAGCAATTAGATGATACACTGTAATGTGGAGGGGGGAACCAGAAGGAAAATACCCCAAAAGACGTTAAGGACAGAAGAAAGTAAATGATAAACACAGAGTATGTCAAACCATTTCTACCAAATGACAGCTAAACTCACTGTGAAACAGTGCAAGTACAAAATAATCTCTCCTTCTTTCCCTAAGGAGAGAAAAGCAACTTGTAGCAAGACAGAGATTCAGAACCTGTATCAGCCGAAGTCTAAATCAATGCAGAACTGGAGACCTATTTGTAAGGATCTCATTCACGTTCACGTCAGGAAGTCCTCTCTGCCAGAGCGAAGCCCGCACTGCGTGAAGTGGTCTATGAAAGCCGGGCTTAGCACTGGCAGAGCAGCACAGCACCCTCACGCGACTGCATGTCGAAGCCACGCGGTGAGCAACCAACAAATGAACGTTCATCTCTACCATTTCCATTCGCTCAAGGCGGCAATCACAGTGCGATGTGAAGACACTTTAAGGGCAGAATGAATGTACAGCCAGAAGGTTCCCTGTTAGGTATTTTGAATACTTAGAATAATTTTCAATAATTGACATAAACAATTCTCTAATGTACACAGCTTTCTTGTGAGGCTTTGGGAATTCCAAACTGTACCAGAGCCAAACACCTGGTCAGAGTACAAGTCGCACTGGGAGCTCCAGGCACATACATCACAAAAAAAACACTGAACAAACTTACCACGAACAGACTCCTGTCTGACCATGTGCTGGTTCTCGTAGCTAGGCTTTCTTTGTCCTTCCTTTTCCCCTCCCTAGATTTACTGAAATATAATTGACTTATAAGCTTTTTCCTTCAACTGCCAAAAATTCTGAAACAAGTCTCCTTTTCCTCCACTTCCTTCTCTTATTAATCCTGCCATCAACCTTTTATCTTACTCACTCCACTGCAGCGATAACCTCACAAGATATCCTCAAACAACAAGTCAACGACACTCTTCTTGCTGAAGCTTGCTTCATTCAGATGTCCTCCTCAAACAACCCACTTGACTAAGTCTTTCCCATTTAATCCTCTTCATCAATAGCTTCGTCTCCTATCACTCAAGAAGCACTTAGCGCCACTACCTCCTCACTGCCCCCAAAGTGGTCTTGCCATTCCTGTCTGTTCTGTTAGGGCTCCACCCTTCCACTTCTCCATGTTATGATTAAGACGTTGAGACATCAGGTGCTTACGGTCTGGTGGGCAGTAGACAAATCCAAAGCAAACCTTAATATAATGTGATAGGGCCATGACAGACACATGTACAAAGATCCACAGGAAAGCTTATTATGTGCTCAGTATCTGATGTCCGTTATCTGACTTAAATCCTCAACTTCTTATTAAAATACCCATTTTACAAATACAGAGAAGTTTAAAAGCTATCCAAAGTCATGTTACTGAAAAGCATCACCAAGATTCAAACTGAGATGTATCTGTTCTAAAACACACTCTTCCCTTCAAACTACTCTCAACCTCACAAAGCAGCACTGCTACCTTTCTTGGAGCCCAATGCACAAGGCACCTGAAATTAACTCAGAAAACCCCTGGAGAAAAAGAAACAAGAGAAACATACACCCATCATACGGAAAACCAGAGTTTGGAGATTTGGGTTCTAATTCCACTTTTCTACAAGCAATAGTAAGAGCTACATCTCCTCCCCATTTTCCTCACGCCTACAAAATGAGGAGGCAGGACCATATGATCTACAGCCCTTTCTGACTCTACAATGCTACGGGTTCTTTTCTGCCTTTTTATTTGACACCTTTACCCTGTCTTGCCCCTGAACTTGGAGCATTTATTAAAAGGCCAAAAGAGGGGCGCCTGGGTGGCGCAGTCGGTTGAGCGTCCGACTTCAACCAGGTCACGATCTCACGGTCTGTGAGTTTGAGCCCCGCGTCGGGCTCTGGGCTGATGGCTCAGAGCCTGGAGCCTGTTTCCGATTCTGTGTCTCCCTCTCTCTGTGCCCCTCGCCCGTTCATGCTCTGTCTCTCTCTGTCCCAAAAATAAATAAACGTTGAAAAAAAATAAAAAATAAAAAAAAATAAAAAAAAAAAAAAGGCCAAAAGATCCCTTGATACTGTGCTCTTCTATATACACTTGAGAAAGTTCCTCTATTCTCACAGACTCAACTACTACTACTTCTAAGTACTGTCAAACTCTAAATATACATTTTTTAGCCCCTTGACTTCTCATCCATGGACCAATTCTGCATCTTCATCTGCCCTTGTAAGTGTTTCCACGAAATAGACTATGGCTTTGAAATCATCTTATCCTTGAAATCAACCTTTTTTTTTTTCAAAATCAATGCTCCTTTGACTTTGTAGTTTCTCTCAGTAACGTCATAATTAGGCTTAACAGCTTAGGAGTCATTTCATTTCTTCTCGGACTTTTAGCACAGTTGTAATTATGCTTGATAAATAATTCTCATTAGAGACAGAATTTATAGAATGTTCCTCCTAAGACTCAGAATTTAAATATATTTTAAGGCTACTAAGTCTCTTTAAAATCAGGGGTCAGCAAATACAGCCCATGAGCCTGCACCTGTTTTTTTTTTTTTAATGACGTTTTATTACGACACAGTCACACATATTTGTTCTGCGCTGTCTGTGGCTGCTCAGCTATACTGCCAATGCTGAGGGGTAGCTGCAAAGAGACTGTATGGATCACACATTCGCCAAAAATACTTACCATCTTACCTTTATATAAAAAGTTTACCCAACTCTGCTCTAGATAAGCAATTTCATTCTCCGTGCTGTATTATGCCCTAAATCATAGCCAAGGATTCTTCACTTGTCTCTTTACCAGGTTCTTTCCCAAATCCGATCTACTCTAGTACACAGGTGCCAAACAAATCTTCTAAAATCACCATTTCCACACTACCTACAGGCTCAGTGGTTTCCTACTTCCTGTCTAAACCGTTATGCATATTCTTAGTGCTGGTACTTAAAACCTTCCCAGCATCAATACACCCAAATTATTTGTTTTCATCTTACAGAGCTGACCCTTCAACAACATGGGTCTGAACTGCATGAGTCCATCTGTACGCAGATTTGTTTTTTTTGATACAGTACAGTACTATAAATGTATTTTCTGTTCCCTATAATTTTCTTAATAACATTCTTTTCTCTAGCTTACTTTATTGTAAGAATACAGAATATAATACATATAACACATAAAATATGTATTAAATTAGGCTTCCAGTCAAAAGTAGGCTATTAAGTTTTTGAGGAGTCAAAAGTTATATACAGATTTTGGACTGCACAGGGGGTCCACACCCCTAATGCCCACATTGTTCCAGGGTCAAGTGTACTACCATCTAATGTCATAATGCCAAATCTCTGTGCTCTGGTAGGGCCGGTTCCCTCACGATTTCTCTAAAATGAGATGTTCACTCCTCACTTCCCAGCTTTTCTTTTTTCCTTGTCCATCATCCCCTATTACTTCTCACCCTTTCTGTAATTACAAAAATTCTATCCATTTTACATGCCCTGGAGTATGTCAGACCTTTTCTTTAAAATCAGTAACTATGGGGGCACCTGGGTGGCTCAGCTGGTGAAGCATCCGACTTCGGCTCAGGTCATGATCTAACAGCTGATGGGTTCAAGCCCCACATTGGGCTCTGGGCTGACGTTCAGAGCCTGGAGCCTGCTTCAGATTCTGTATCTCTCTCTCATTCTCTCTCTCCCTCTCTCTGCCCCTTTCCCACTCACACTCTGTCTCTCCATCTCTTAAAAATAAACATCAAAGGGGCGCCTGGGTGGCGCAGTCGGTTAACCGTCCGACTTCAGCCAGGTCACGATCTCGCGGTCCGTGAGTTCAAGCCCCGCGTCGGGCTCTGGGCTGATGGCTCAGAGCCTGGAGCCTGCTTCCGATTCTGTGTCTCCCTCTCTCTCTGCCCCTCCCCCGTTCATGCTCTGTCTCCCTCTGTCCCAAAAATAAATAAAAAACATTGAAAAAAAAAATTAAAAAAAAAAAACCAAACAATACAACACCATAAAATCAGCAACCCTGACCCACAGACATATCTCTCTCACTCGTCTCCTATGAAATTTGTATTAATGCCAGATATTTGCACAAGCACTCTCTCTTGTGTCTGAGTCTTTATCTTACCACTGATACTGTGAAATATCTGAGGCAAAGGACCAGTATTGTAAGTCTTTCGGAATTCTCACCATACCTAGTACAGTGCTAGGCTCAAGAAACACTTGCTGAATTGAATCAAAGTCAGTACACTTTTAATTACTTACACAATCTCAGTCAATCTGATGTGCCAGGGAAGAAAGCCTAATGTGCTGTCCACAGGACCAAACTTCAGTACTAAATCGGGATCGGGGAAACCATCTGAACCTTATAAAGAAAGAAATACACAGGAATTTAACATGCATTGCTCACAAATAAAATGACCAAGGGCAAAATCTGTTCATCAAATTGGCTTTTTATGCTTTATCTGTTTTCTTCACAAGCTTCACTCATATGTTTCCATACCACCACCCCACTGCCCAACATATACTTTAGTATCTATGTTATTTCCAAACGTGAACGCTTTCTCTAAAGACCATTTGACTGAATGGATTACCTCATAAGAAGAGGTAAGCCCACTCCCATCCTAAACCATACAGACAGCCCCCAAACCCCATCCATCTTTCAAGACTCCCAAGTTCTCCTGGCACCCTGAGAACCATACTGCTTTAGGGGCACAAATGCTTATTCTGGCCATAGAATCACAGCACTTCAGAGATGAAAAGGAACCATAAAAGTAACTAGAACCCTTCCTTCCCCAATACCCCTTATTTTATAGCTGATAACAAAAAAACCCAACTCCTAGCTATCTAGTATAAATGTTTTCTCCAGAGCTCCAGCCCAGGGAGGGAAAAGACCAGACACCTGCCTCAACAAAGGCATGGCCATTCAGTCTCACAAACTGGTTTCCATACAAGACCTGGTTTCAGAAAAAAAAGGGGATAAGGATAGTTCAACTGCTTAAAAAATAAAGTAAAATAAATATTAAAATAGTCACTGGTAGAACAGAAAAGATGCTATTATCCAAGAAACCCAGGCTGCAACAGTTTGTAATAACCTCAATTCTGCCACTAACTTTCGGTTGCACAACCTCTCCGGGGCTTAGTTGTTTCATTTGTTAAATAAGGAGACTAGATTAGACAGGCTCATCCAGCAGTAATTAAGAATTATTTCCATAAAAAAGTCTCTTTAAAGTCCATATTGGTAAAGGTGCGTGGACTAAGAAGAATATATATTCCTTTGACTGCTAAAGAGCAAATTCTCTTTAGTTCAAAAAAAAAAAAAAAATTAAATAAAAAATGGCAAGAAGGAATTTCTGGCTAAGGGTAGTGTGAAGAAGGTGATGAATCCTCCCCCCAAAAATATGTATTAAACTGACAAAACCAAACATTTAAGGGCACCGGATACTGGCCAGAAGCAGACAATTATTCTTTTAATAACAAAAAAATGAAACACCAGCTAGAGTTTCAGGTAAGAACGGTAAGGGTCTTTGTCTTTCCTGCCTGGGAACGGTCCTAACTCCCATGCCTCTAACCCCAATCAAATGGAAAAAATTATAGGTTTACCAGCATGGGGCTGATGGCAAAACTGGTAGATTGGATGCCTGTGGCCAAAAGATATGGACTCAATTTGGAACTGGAGATTGTGGGCAGGAGGGGGCAATGATGAAAGCCCAGGGTTTCGCCAGCTAAAAGCACCAAGTGGCAAACTCAAAAGGAAACAAATGAGGAAAACACACAGCTTGTTGGCTTGATGTTGTGGCCCCAGTTAGGGCAGGCAATCTAATGGTCAGAAATTTACCAGGCAGATCCTGAAAATAAGGGCTCAGCTAAGCCCTCCACGTACCCATAGCTGATGAGGAAACTGCATACATGCAGAGGAGGAAAGTAACCAAGGAAAAGTAACCAAGAAGACTTGAGGACTGGTGGGAACTCTGAACCCAGCAGCCAACATCATACAGATGTGCCTGGGTGGCTCAGCTGGTTAAACGTCTGACTTCGCTCAGGTCATGATCTCACAGTTTGTGAGTTCGAGCCCCGCGTTGGACTCTGTGCTGACAGCTTGGAGCCTGGAGCCTGCTTCAGATTCTGTGTCTCCCTCTCTCTCTGCCCCTCAACCGCTCACACTCTGTCTCCATCTCTCAAAAATAAATGCACATTAAAAAAAAAAAATCTTAAGGGGCACCTGGGTGGCTCAGTCGGTTGAGTGTCCAACTCTTGGTTTCGGCTCAGGTCATGATCTCACGGTTTGTGACATCTGACAGTGCGGAGCCTGCTTGGGACTCTCTCTCCCTCTCTCTGCCCCTCCCCCAGTCTCTCTCACAATAAATAAACATTAAAAAAAAATCTTAAGACTCTGAAAATGAACTATCAGAACTAGTAAGTGAATTTAGCAAGGTGGCAAAATACAAAATCAATATTAAAAAAAAAACAAAACTACATTTCCATTTATTATTAACAAACAATCTAAAAGCAAAACTAAGCAAACAATCTCATTAATAACAGCATCCAAAAGAATAAAATACTTGGGAATAAATCTAACAAAAGAAGCAGAAATCCCAAATCCTGTTAAAAACTCTGTTAAAAGAAACCATACGAGGACCCAAATATGGAGACATGCTATGTTCATGGATTACAAGACTCAATATTGTTAAGATGGTCAATCTCCCCAAACTGAGCTACAGATTCATTTCAGTCCCTACCAAAACCAGGTGCTTTGGGGTTGGTGAAGCTGATTCTAAAATTTACATGAAAATGAAATGTTCCTGACTAGCCAAAGTTGTTTCACTTCAAAAAAGAAAATCAAGGGGCGCCTGGGTGGCTCAGTCGGTTAAGCGGCCGACTTCAGCTCAGATCATGATCTCGTGGTCCGTGAGTTCGAGCCCCACGTCGGGCTCTGTGCTGACAGCTCAGAGCCTGGAGCCTGTTTCAGATTCTGTGTCTCCCTCTCTCTGACCCTCCCCTGTTCATGCTCTGTCTCTCTCTGTCTCAAAAATAAATAAACGTTAAAAAAAAAATAAAAAAAAAAAAAAAAGAAAATCAAAGTTGAAGGACTTTAAGGACATGATTTCAAAGTTTATCATTAGTAGGCACTACGGTAATCAAGACCTTGGGGCATTTGAAGGGACAGGCAGTACAGACCAATGGCAGAGAATAAGAAGTCCAGAAATAAATTCAAAGATTTATAGTAAATTAGATTTCAACACAGGAGTCACAGTAATTCAAGGGAGAAAAAAATGGCAGAAGAACAACTCAGTTTGTCTGCCTCACACCATTCACAAAAAGTAAGTCAACATAGCTCACAGATTTAAACAGAACAGGTTAAGTGATAAAAATTCTAGAAGGAAATAACGGTGACTTTGGGTTAGGGAAAGATTTCTTAGCTATGACACCAAATGCATGATTCACAAAAGAAAAAAATGATAAACTGGATTTCATAAAGACTAAATACTTTTTTTTTTAAGTTTTTATTTATTTATTTTGCGGGGAAGAGAGGGAGAGGCAGGGAGAGAGAAGAGGGAGAGAGAGTCCCAAGCAGGCTTTGCACTGTCAGTGCAGAGATCAAGGCAGGGCTCAATCTTGAACTGTGAGATCATGATGTGAGCTGAAATCCGGAGTCAGACACTTAACCAACTGAGCCACCCAGTCACCCAAAGATGAAACACTTAAGGAAAAAAAAGTAAGCCATAGATTGTGAGGAAATATTCATAAGTCATATCTTACTACTGAAAAAAAGATCTGTACCCCAAATATATAAAGACCTCTTAAAACTAAGACAAACGGGGCGCCTGGGTGGCGCAGTCGGTTAAGCGTCCGACTTCAGCCAGGTCACGATCTCGCGGTCCGTGAGTTCGAGCCCCGCGCCGGGCTCTGGGCTGATGGCTCAGAGCCTGGAGCCTGTTTCCGATTCTGTGTCTCCCTCTCTCTCTGCCCCTCCCCCGTTCATGCTCTGTCTCTCTCTCTCTCAAAAATAAACAAACGTTAAAAAAAAAAAATTAAAAAAAAAAAAAAAACTAAGACAAACAACCCATTAAAAGTAGGCAGAATGTCTTGAATGGATATTTCACCAAAGAAGATACAGATGACAAATTAGCACATGAAAAAAGCTCAATGACATTAGTCATTAGGAAGATGTTAATTAAAACCACAATAAGATACTATTACATCCCCACTAGAATGGCTAAAATTAAGAAACAAAAACAAAAAACTGACAATACTATGCCTTGGCACGGACATGAAGAATCTAGACTCCTCTACATTACTGGTAGAATATAACAATACTATAGCCTCTTTGGAAAAGTTTGGCAGTTTCTTAAAAGTTAAACATTCACTCAACCAACACAACCTAGCAATTCCATTATTAGTCATCTACCAAAGAAAGGAAAACATGTCTGCACAAAGACTCGTATGTGAATAGTCACAGCAGCATTATTCAAACAAACCTAATGCACATCAACTGGTGAATGGATAAACGAAATGTACATCCACAGAACTGAATACTATTCACCAACAGAAAGCAATGAACTACTAATACATGCAACATGGATGAACCTCAATAATATGCTGAGGAAAGAAAACAAGACATTAAAGATTATTTTATATGATTTCATTTATATAACATTTCTGGAAAAGATAAAAGTATAGTAAAAGAAAAAAAAAGCAAGTATGTAGTTGCCTTGTATGCAAGTAGGAATGGTGAAGTTCACAATCATAAGCGAACTTTTGGGGGTAACAGTATTCAGGGGGTCTGCTTCTGTCAGATTGGTAAATTAACTTATGGACTGTGTACTTTTTCACTTATCGTGAGTTTGCCACCCCTGAAGGCAACACCTGGGCTCAAAACTTTGGCACTTCTCCATAGGCTCCCTGAAGGACCACCTTTGGTCCCTCTATCACTTTTAGGACACCCTCATAAATTACTCTATGGTTGGGGCCTTACAGAATCCAGGAAACAGTCAACATCCAGTAACCTACAATGAGTCCCTACAATGGTCTACTTTAAGTCTATTCATTCAGCCTAAATGCAGCCAGGCAATGAGAGAGAATACCAGAGTAGGGGAAGAAATGAGTAGTCAGTGAAAGACAGGAGTTGGTGAGACGGGAGGCCAGAGAGCGAATGTGCTGTATGATGAACACATGTCAATGTGGAAGAAACAAGAATGGAGAGTCAAGTAAATGACTGAATTAGACAAAAAAAAAAAAAAAGCATGATTAATAAGTAAGGTAAATGGAGACCCTATTTGAATGAACAAAAAATGTATGTCTGAAATTGCAGAGCTATAGAAGCTATTAATGGACATAAACTTGTTAGAAGCACTGCCTTTCTTCAAAAGATCAAGGATGGGGTGCCTGGGTGGCTCAGCTGGTTAAGCATCTGACTCTTGATTTTGGCTCAGGTCATGACGTACGAGTCCTGAAATCGAACCCCGTATCAGGCTCTGTGCTGGGCAAGCAGCCTACTTACGAGCCTCCCCCCAACCCATCTCTCCTACCCTTCTGCCCACTCCCAAACAAAAGAAAATAACCCAAAAAACAAAAAAACAAAAGGATCAAGGATAATGCCAGTAAGCAGAAGGACCATAAAGTTGAAGCAAAAGGTTCCTAGGAGGCTCTACAGAGAATAAACAAATTAAAGGCTTTTATAAATAGTTGAAGGAAAAAAACCCTATAATGTTATATTTGGTATAACATGACAAATACAGTGAGTATATTTCATATCACATAACAGAAAGAACACTAAAAATAAAGTGACGAATGCTAATAAGATTATATTCTTGGGACTGCCTCCTAAATAGCTGTTAAATTCAAACTTAACAGATAGTTCAAACTAAAAAGAAACAGTAAGAGGAGTGCGATATTATTATAAAAAAAATATGTGTTTGGTCTCTGTCCAGGTTCCAAGCTCCTAAAATCCTTGGAATTTCCTGAATGATAGGAGTGAGAGGAGTATCTTGTGTTATTCATAATAAGCCCCCTTCCACCACAGCTGAGTTTCTGTTAATGGTGACTCTGGGCAGGCCTCTGGATAGCTTTAGGATGGGAGCTAGTTGCTGGGGAAACCAGTCATGTGATTAGAGGGCTGCAACTTCCGGCCCTACCTTTCAACCTGCAGGTAGGGGAGAAGAGCTGGAGACTGAGTTCAATCCCTAATAGTCAATGATTTCATCAATCATGCTAACATAAAGGAACTTCCACAAAATCCCCTAAATGACAGGGTTCCAAAAGCTTCCAGGTTGGTGAATGCACTGAGGTGCTGAGAGGGTGATGAGCCCAGAGAGGTCATGGAAGATGACTGCATCCCCTGGCGATACCTGGCCCCGTATGCCTCTTACACTGGACGGCTCCTGAGTTGTGTCCTTTATTATCAACTGGTAAACATAAAGTTTAGTCAAGTTCCTTCCTGAGTTCTGGGAGCCATTCTAGCAAATTAGCAAACCTTAGGAGAGAGTCATAGGAACCCCCTAGTTATAGGTAGTTGATCAGGTGGCCTGTACAGGTGGCATGAAAACCGCAACGGGCATCTGAAGTGGGGGCCGTTTTGTGTGACTGAGCCCTTCAACCTACAGAATCAAACACTGTCTCTGGGTGGTTAGTGTCAGAAGTGAATTGAACTGCTGGACACCCATGTGGTGTCTGGAGAATTGAAAAACTCATGGTGTAGGAAAACATCCCACAGGGAAGCTGACAAGCAGAAGTCCGATATTCAAGAACATTCATCAGCCCCCTGCAAAAATCCTCTTATATCCTCTCCTTTACCAGTAAGTTCTCTTGCAAGTGAGCTGACTACAAATCTCATTATCTCAAAATCATTTTCAACATGTGGGGCTTCAAAATTTCAGAAACATTACAAGTGTAACAACAACAACAACAAAATCAGGCTTTATAGTGCAAAAGGAACCCAGATGCTCTCCTTCATAGTGTACCCTCGTAAACCACGTACAGTTGTAGGACACAACTGAAAACATATATATTTGTCTATATATGACTTACTAAGTAAACTGCCAAACATATCTACATCCAAATCTGTGGATCTCTTTTGCTGCTGGGCTACTAACTGGCAAAAGTCCTGAGCAGCTCTCACAATATCTGCTTTTCCATCTTCTGGGGAGAGCACCTTCACTGCCGATTGGCAATTTAAAACTGAAAGAAAAAACAAACAAGTTATTAAAAAAAAACATCCTGTTCCAGACAAATTTCAAAATCTATTTCAAGAAATATTAAGTTCAGACTAAAATAAAAGTATAGTTCTTATAGTAAACATGGATCATTTAAGTCCTTCAAATTGAACATCAAAACATACTTATCTATTCTCCTCTGAAAGGACCCACACATCACATTTGTGTGTGTGTATATATATATATAGTACCTTCCTCTCAAAGTACTCAAAGACCTTGTATCTCTGAATAAATCCTCTAGAAAATAGGAATCATACGCTAGTTTACAATTTTCACTCACCTAAAATGCCATCTACAATCATAGTACAGTTAGCAGTAACACAAAAGATAAAAATGAAGAATATAGGGGAAAAAATGTGTTTCAATGAAACAGGCACTGTCTACCTTATCAGAATCTGATTCTGTGGGAGCTATTTTATAATTGACAGGATTCTAGGTACCTGACAGGAATGCCAAATTCTTGTCTATAGACAAGAATGCAAATTCTTTCTTGTCTGGTAGAGGTTCAATTATCTTCCCTCTAACCCAAAAGAAAAACCAGTTTTGCCTCCATTTACACATTCATTGCAATATTACTTACCTGTAAGTGTGTCCATCCTTTGGACTCTCTTTGAACTGGTTACAAAATCTGCCTGGTTCCTGGTTATTCATTAGTTAAATAAAATCTTTAACATGTGTGTATTTTTTAATATCTATGAAAGTCACGATTTTATCTTTTTCTGAAAATTCTTTGAAGAAGATGAAGAAAGAAAAGTCTAAATCTGATGATAAAAGAAGCGTGACAATAAAGACTAACAGCGCAAAATGAATGAATGAGTGACAGGACCTGCCTTGAAACACAAAATACATCTGTGTAAGTTAGATACTCAATTTGCTACTCACGCTTACCTTGATCATCTTTGTCATTACTATTCGCAAACTCTGGTGAATATTTGGAACAATCTAAACCCAGAAGTTCCTGCTGTTGTTTTAAAATTTCATCCATTAATCTGGAATTATTTCTTTTGAAAATACCTTAAAAAGAAAAAAAGCAAGTAAATCCCAACTAGGTTAATTTATCCTCTTCAACAATTAATGGATGTTTGCTGTGAAAACATCACTGCACCCAAAACTGAACAAACTCCACATGAAGCATTGCTGACTATGCCTCAACCGGAGTCTAAAAGAAAAACAAAACAAAACTCTGTTAACAATAAGAGTCTGGAGTCAGGCTAAAATAAAAAAAAAAAAAAAAGGATAGAAGTGACTACTTGGAGCCAATATGAGTATGATGAAAAATTTACACCTAGAAGGAAATCTTAAGCTATCTTTTACTTGAAATTTTCATTTACAGATTAAGAAACTGGGACCCAGAGTCCTTAAGAGACTTGTTCAGAATCTGTAACTGTGGCAGTGGCCCAGAGCCCTTATCTTGTGGACTCCCAGTCTGATGCACTTTCCTTGCAGACCCATTACACGCATTCAGTATTATTACTTCTATTTGATTCGTTGTTTTATTTATTTTTTATTTTTTTAATGTTTATTTATTTTTGAGAGACAGAGAGAGACAGCATGAGCTGTCAGCAAAGAGCCTGACTGGGGCTCAAACTCATGAGCCGAAATCGGACGCTCAACCGACTGAGCCACCCAGGCGCCCCAATTCGTTGTTTTAATGGTAAGAGGAACTATTAAGAATTATGTAGGGACGCCTGGGTGGCTCAGTCGGTTGAGCATCTGACTTCAATTCAGGTCATGATCTCACGGTTCTTGAGTTCAAGCCCCGCGTCGGACTCTGTGCTGACAGTTCAGAGCCTGGAGCCTGCTTTGGATTCTGTGTCCCCCCTCTCTCTCTCTGCCCCTCGCCCGCTCATGCTCTCTCTCTCAAAAATAAACATTAAAAAATTTTTTTAAAAAGAGAATTATGTAGAAAATAGAGAGAATACACAAAAGTAACAAAATCAAAATTTAGTAAATTCCAGCAAAGCATGGAAATACACTACCTAAAACTGTTTTTGATCCTTCAACCATGCACAAAAAAAGCTAAAACTTTTAATGACTATTATGTCATTGAAAAAGATGAAGTAACTATGTGGCATAAATTTAACATGAAACTAATGAAGAGAGTTCTAACTAAAAACAAGTGACAACTATTTAGCTATTTTCAGAGGGGCAGCTTTTTTACTGGTCATTGCCTTTTCGATCTTTACCAAGTGTTCCTACTCTGTACTCTCAGTCAGATCTGACTTTAAAGTACTTCAAAGATTAACTGGGAAAGAGAATATAGTTAAAAATATATAAAATAACACAATCTGGTGAATATGCTGTATACACATTACGTTGCTAGTCCATGTGTAATAGCAGTCCAAAGGTTAAAAAAAAATTCTCCTTTGGTAGGGAAAGCTTTGTAAAATAAGCAAGACTTGAGCTGAGCTTTCGAAAGTTAGAAAACTGAGCTTCAACCTTAGAAAGTTAAAGACGATGGAGAGGATATTTAGTTTGGGAAAATGTTTAAGAAAAAAACACTGAATACTCAAAAGACAGACAAATGTTGCTGGTGCAAAGGATTTGAGAAAAGGGGACAGACCTAATTTTCATTTCATGTTGCCTACCAAGTGGGTAACCAACAATTTCTAAGCCATGTGGGAAGGTGGAAATTTATAACTTTAGGAAAACTAACCTGGCAACAGTATAGAGAAGGTCAGGCAGCAGAATACTGCAATAGTCCATTCGTAATTTGATGAAACAATGGAAGGAGTTCATTACAAAAGAATTGAGAGAATGAAAAGCATGACTTAATGAGAGGTGAACAGAGAAAATTCCATGGCATTAATCCTAGCTAAAAGAAAATAATAACTTTTGTTTAAAGTGTGGAATTTCTAGCAGAGAACTGGTTTGAAGGAAAATATAAGCTTAAGTTTTAGACACCTGATGATAGAATATTTGGGCAGGGGTACTGAAAAAGTGATTAAGACACATGAAGCAAGGACATTCAAAAAAGGTCATATAGGGACGCCTGGGTGGCTCAGTCCATAGAGCATCAAACTCTTGATCTCATGGTCATGAGTTCAAGCCCCACACTGGGTGTGGAGCGTACTTAATCAAAAAAACAAAAAACCAAAAGAGGTGATATAAGCACTATGTGGGTAGAGATCTTAACTGTGTTTGCTCACCAGGGTCTAGCACAGTGCCTGGCACAGAACAGACACTCAGCAAATAAATAAATGTCTGCCGAAAGAAGGCAACAGTCAGAGACTGACTAGGGGACTTAAAAAGACCTCTTTAGGGTAAGTGACATTTCATCCAGCCCATGGAGAATTAGGAGAATTCTACAGGGGTAAGGCTGGGAAGGTAACATAACAAAAGATGGGGATACAGACACACATTTGGGAGTCACCATCCTTAAGGTGAAGCCAAACAGACACACAAGAAGTGAAAAATAAGATCTGCAAAGGTAAAGAAGCATACGTGAAGAAGAGCAGGGGGCTAAGGCTGTGGCACCTTATGAAAGCCCACAGTCATAAGACCAAAAGCTAGGAAGTATAAAAGTGAACACTGTGTAGTACCCATATGCAAAGCAACAAAAAATACATAGTCCCAAAGACAAACAAAAATTTTAAAGGAAGGTAATTAATATCAGAAGCTATTGGAAAAACAATGTTGAGGACAGCAATACTTGTGCAACAATACAGATGTGTAGGATATTAACATTATGTTCAAGTCAGTCATAAAATTCACATGTATGACACAAAAGCATGTACTATAAGACAGCTACATGATACAGGCTTATTAATGTTACAAGACTTCCAGTTGTTTATGCCAAGTAAAAAATAAAAAATGATTTAGACCACACTTTGGTCTATATCATAGACATAAATCATGGAAGGCATGCAAATGCAAGCTGGTGCAGCCACTCTGGAAAACAGGATGGAGGTTCCTCAAAAAACTAGATAGAACTAGAACTAACCTACAACCCAGCAATTGCACTACTAGGCATTTATCCAAGGGATACAGGTGTGCTGTTTTGAAGGGACACATGCACCCTAATGTTTACAGCAGCACTATCAACAATAGCCAAAGTATGGAAAAAGCTCAAATGTCCATGGATGGATGAATGGATAAAGAAGATATGGGGTGTGTGTGTGTGTGTGTGTGTGTGTGTGTGTATACACACATACACTGGAGTATTACTTGGCAATCAGAAAGAATGAAATCTTGCCATTTGCAACTACGTGGATGGAACTGGAGGGTATTATGCTAAGCGAAATCAGTCAAAGAAAGACAAATATCATATGACTTCACTCATATGAGGACATTAAGTGACAAAACAGATGAACTTAAGGGAAACAAAAATAATATAAAAACAGGGAGGGGGACAAAACATAAGAGACTCATAAATATGGAGAACAAACAGAGGGTTACTGGAAGGGGTGTGGGAGGGGGGATGGGCTAAAGGGGTAAGGGGCATTAAGGAATCTACTCCTGAAATCATTGTTGTACTATATGTTAACTAATTTGGATGTAAATTCAAAAAATAAAATAAAAGAAAAAAATAAATTATGGAAGGCATATGAATTTCAAAAACAATGTAAAATCTCCACAACCCTGCTAGAACATATGAACTTACTAGAATGTAGATTTATTCATTTTAATAGTAACCCACCACTAGGAACCCTTGCTTTTGTCTATTTACAGGACACTGATCTCTTCCTTCAATACTCCAAAGACCTATGCTTCAGTGCTCACTAATTCACTCATCTCTGCCTTAGCTTCCAGATTAAAATAGAAATACATTTCAGGAACTCTTGCTTTCTCCAAATCAATGGATGACATTCTTTGTCACCAAAATGGTCACTACCTCTTTTCAATCTGTATCCTTTCCTTCTCAATCTTTCTGAAGTGTTACCATTAATGACCAAGCTGCTCCATTCTCAAAATTCCATCCTTACGCCACAACTTGTCTAAACTCCCTTTCTTGGTTCTACTCCCAGCCTGCGCCTTGAATGGCCCCTTCTCCCTTTGCACTGAATCCTTTCCCTCTTCCCACTTCTAACTGGAAGATTACTCCGAGAGTTGCTATCTCAGCCTTCTCCTTCTGTCCATGTGCTCCTCTTTCTCTGAGTCTAGTCACTCATGGGACTTTAAAACCACTCAGGGCCAGGGCAAGGGTGAGATAAGCGAAGCAAAACTTAAGTTGGCATCAAAAAACTCTAAGATAAAGAATAACGCATTATCTTCAACAACTTAATGCAAAAACATCCCATGATGAACAAAACATTAAAATTTTAGGTAAAAAACAAGGATCAGCATTTAATAACTCCAGTTCAGGGGCGCCTGGGTGGCTCAGTTGGTTAAGCCTTCTACTTCAGTTCAGGTCATGATCTCACGGTTCGTGAGTTCCAGCCCCGCTTCTGTGCTGACAGCTGGAGACTGCTTCGGATTGTCTTCCTCTCTCTCTGCCCCTCTACTGCTCATGCTGTGTCTCTTCCTGTCTCAAAAATAAATAAACATTAAAAAAAAAAAAGAAAATTCCAGTTCATTGTACCCAGAAGTTCTGTAAGCATCTGAAACATACCTAAAACATAGCAGCTGATCTCTTAAAGCTAGTTCTCAGGGAGCCTGGGTGGCTCAGTCGATTAAGTGTCCGACTTTGGCTCAGATCATGATCTCACAGTTTGTGAATTCGAACCCCAGCTCTGGTCTCGCGCTGACAATGCAGAGCTTGCCTGCGATTCTCTCTCTCTCCCTCTCTCTCTGCCCCTCCCCTGCTCATACTGTCTCTCTCCCTCTCTCAAAATAACAAATAAACTTAAAAAAATTTTTTAAATAAAACTAGCTCTCAAACACTTATATCTTTTTTTTTTTTTTTAATTTTCTTAAATGTTTATTTTTGAGAGAGACACAGAGCTCGAGTAGGGGAAGGGCAGAAAGAGAGGGAGACACAGAATCAGAAACAGGCTCCAGGCTATGAGCTATCAGCACAGAGCCTGACGCAGGGCTCAAACCCATGAACTGTGAGATCAAGACCTGAACCAAAC